CAAGTCTTATGAAGAAAGATTGAAGATTATGAAGCTTCCCAGTCTCCGTTATCGTCGCCTGCGTGGTGACCTCATTGAAGTATACAAGTATACTCATGGTTTGTACAAGGTCCCAGAAGGATTACTAGAATTTGAAACAAGAACCAACACCAGGAGCCACAGCTATAAACTCAAAAAACTGCGTTTCAACTTATCTACGTGACAACATTTCTTCTCGCTTCGAGTCACTGACATGTGGAACAGCCTCCCTGAAGATATTGTTGACGCTCCGAGTATGAACGCGTTCAAGAACAGACTAGACAAAGCCATGCATGAGCATATGTTCAGTCTTAAAATGCCTCGTACCCTACGGAACAACTGATATCTAGAAGCGATTTTAAATCTACCGTCCCTAAGGCCAGTCTAGTCAAGAAAAGTACAAGAATCGGCGACAGGCCTATCCAGGCCTATTTATTTAATGCCGAAGATACTATACTAAACTATACTATACTACACTGACATGTGGAACAGCCTCCCTGAAGATATTGTTGACGCTCCGAGTATGAACGCGTTCAAGAACAGACTAGACAAGGCCATGCATGAGCATATGTTTCGTATGAACGCGTTCAAGAACAGACTAGACAAGGCCATGCATGAGCATATGTTTAGTCTTAAAATGCCTCGTACCCTACGGAACAACTGATATCTAGAAGCTATTTTAAATCTACCGTCCGTTGAAAAGATCTGATCAAAAGGCCAGTCTAGTCAAGAAAAGTACAAGAATCGGCGACAGGCCTATCCAGGCCTATTCTTTATATGCCGAAGATACTATACTATACTATACTAACATAGTATAACATAGTGATCTCGTCGCTGAAGTGTAGGCCTGATGTGGCCTGTCGCCGATTCTTTTCCTTTTCGTGCCTTGCTCACAGAAGATCTAATATCGTGTCATTTGACCGGATCTTTTCATGACTGACGATAGTTTGAAAAAGCTACTCGACTTCCACCGGATTCTACTAGGCATTTCAAATCTGAACATATATTTTTCCATAGCTTTATCTAGTCTGTTCTTGAGCGCGTTCACACTTGGAGCGCCAACTATGTCATCGGGGAGGCTGTTCCACATGTCGGTGATTCGAAGCGAGAAGAAATGTTGGCGCGTGGATGAGTTGCAGCGCAGTTTTTTTTAGTTTATAGCCGTGGCCCCTGGTGTTGGTTCTTGTTTCAAATTCTAGTAATCCTTCGGGGACCATGTATAAACCATGAGTATACTTGTATACTTCAATGAGGTCCC